TGTAAATATAAAATTTTTCTTTGAATATGCAAACTGGAAATTAAGACGATAAATTTTAGCACCATAAAATGTGAAATTAATTCTAGAAATATTATTTCGAAAAACGATACATTTATATTTGAAATAAAATGAATGTGTTTCGTTGTGTCGGTATAAATTAACTATGATCGTTTCACAATATTTATAACCAATTTATAATATATTTCAGTATAATTCTGTTGTTTCATCAAGTAGGTGAATAAATACAAATGAAAAATTCATTACTCATATTATTCAATATCGACAAGAAAACATTAAAGACCAAATCCTTATGTAGAAGTACGTTTGATGCAATAAAGCCGGTATTAAAGAAACGAATATTGTACACGACGCATTTTTCTGTATTTTGTATAAAAATGCCCGTAGACTTTATATACAAATGATACGAGTGTCTTTGTATAAATTATTCAAATATATTTAAACAAATATCAGAGATTACAGTATTTACAGAAAATTCTCTTGCACTCATGCGAACACAACACATGCTCACAGCACTGTCCTACATACTTTTTTTTTATAAATGTCATATACAGCCAGTGCATAGTATTATGCAGTAACTATTATGCTATTCACACTTGGAACAAGTGTGTTTGTACCCGACGACTGTATTACTGCAAAAATGACTTTCGTAATATTCATTCAACACGATCGTCGCAGAAAATCGAGCTATTCAAAATGAATGATCCACAGTCCATCGTAACACTCGGATGTGGCAGTGTCACTATAGTACATCTTTGAGTTTCATCAAGACGCGAGTTCAAACACGGCATCCGGTTCACATGTTGCTGGCACGAAATTTCTTGAGTGAGAAAATGTTCATTTCAAACTAGTTACATGATCAGTCTGTATCATCTACGACGTTCATTCACAGTAATGTTCGGTAAGCCAACTTACCTGGAATTGGCATTCCAGTATTGCTCACGCATCATTAATAAATAACGTATTCTATTACGTGTAGGCGTTGTTTGTATTACGTACAGATTAAATTTTGTTAGTCGCGATTTTTCGGACAACTAAACTTGTTTCAATGCGTTTTCACTTAATTATTTGTCAATTTACTGAATGATTGACATTTTCCCTTGTACAGTCCTCCGTTTCCACGTTGTTGCAACACGCGTGACTACCAAAGAGGTAGATTAGCAAAATAAAATTTTAGCTAAGGTGTAGCGAACGACGGTAACATAATTTTGTCGTTATATTCGAGCTACCACCGTTAGGATAAACGCAACCGGTACGAAAGTAGTAAACTAGGAAATAAATACAACAGCTGACAATCGAAACGGAACTTAAAATGGAAGGTAGTTCATGGTGAAACCATGGAAGTGATAATTAGAAGGGACTGGAACCATGCTGATTTTTTACTGATTCTGGGTTCAAAGTTTAAATGGTCTTCTCCTTAGACAAATTCCATCGAATAGGAAAACAACAGCTATTAATAGAAATGAAATTTGAATTGGAAGGGAGAACCATGGAAGTGGTGGAATTCTTGGAAGGGGTTCGAGCCATGCTGGTGTTTCCCTGACTCTGGGTCCAAGGGATCTTCTCCTTGGTCGAATTTTGCTCGTTTCTCATCGTCTGTTAATACTTCTTTGGCAGCTGCGATGTCAATAAACCTCTTCTCCGCCCGTTTCTTTTCCTCTCCTTCTTGAAAGTTATCAGGATGCCACTTCTGCGCGGCCTTCCTGTACGCTTTAATGATGTCTCGTTTTGAAGCTGTCCTTGGCACCCCCAGGATTTTGTAATAATCTCGTGACTCCGACAGTTTTTGACGCTGTTGTGCTTTGTGAAGACCTTGCTTCGCCCTTTGCGAGCTTGAGTCAATTTCTAAAGCTTCCTTAAATTCTCTTATCGCTGTTTTAAAGTAATAATTATGTTAATTGTACCTGTAACCGGTAAAAGTAGTGGGAAAAATTATAACACAAGCATGACTTACAATCATCAAACATTTCAGCAGCGAGATACGCCTCTGCACTGTCACAGTACACGTCAGGTTCTTTTCGCATTTTTAGCGCTTCTTGACAATTAGTAATTGCCTGATCTGTATCCAAGCTGCTGGTATAACATTTGCAAAGAAGTTGATGGGCGAAAAAACGAACATTGCCTATGCTTGGTTCAAGTTTCAATGCAGATTGACCAGAACCTATACAGTCGTCGTACTTTCCTCCTTTTTCGAACTTTTCTGCATCTGCTAATAACTTAGCTATCTTCTTAATTTTTTTATAAAATGAGAAACACTTTGAGTGCTCCGGATCAAGCTTTAAACATTCTCGAATGTCCCTAAATAAATAGAACTTCCGTTGAATAATCTTCTGCATTAAATATTTGTTTTACCTTAAAGAGGAAGCCTGGTTAACCAACTCCAAGAAGTCGATTCTTTCTTATTTTCATCAACAGTAGTACTAACATAGCGTAGGATGATATTTTTAAATAAATAACATAATAGTTACTTTATCGTTATCGGCCTAACCAGTCTCCCTCATTTATCATTATTGTTACTTACTTCAATGACTCATCTACTTGTCCAAGATGGTAACGTAGAGTTGCCAATTTGAAGAAACCATTAGTGTTATCGGATTGTAACTTAGTTGTGGAATGCACATCAGAAATTGCACTTGTATAATCTTCAAGAATTTCATAGCATTCTGCCCTATGTTCCCTAAGTTCGACTGCCCAAGGACATAGTTCAATAAGTCTAGTTAGTTGTCGCACAGCTGCAGTATAATCTTGATCTCTTATTAACTTTTTTACAATTTCTAAATCTTCTTGTGCAGGTGCAATTTTATATAAGGCATTTAGAGCTTCATTATTCTGCGGTTCTACTTTCAACTATAAAAGAAACATCAAATAAAATATGAAAGCACCATAACAAAACCATACGAATTATTAAAATGGCAGAACTAAGCTTACAATCGTAGTTGTACTTACCACACTTCGAAAATCTGCTTCTGCTTTAGAGAATTCAGCCTGTTTAAGTAGCACATTACCTCGCTGTAACCTTGCAGATGTAAAATCTGGCTTTAGCTCCAAAACTTTGTCAAGATCGAGGAGCGCAAGCTTAGCTTTACGTAATGCTAGATATACTATGCCTCTTTTATAGTATGTTAAATAATTGTTCGGACTACCCTCTGCAAAAAATAACATCCTACAATATTTTGAACTCACAGTGCGAAACGATATTTCGAATTACCACGACGGTTATGAAAACGTGTAACTATTAAAATTGGAGACAAAACTCACCAACAGCTGCATGGTAATGTGTCAGTGCATCTTGTAACTGACCTCTCGCTAAAAATTCTTTACCTAATTCCAAATGTCTGTTAATCTCTGCTTGAGACACACTGCCAACCACTGCAATGCAAACTCATTAACTATTATACTTTAAAATAATTATACGCAAAGATACTGCAGGTTAGGATTATTTACCGTCTAAAGACAGATCCAATAAGACCAGTAACAAACCGCAATGGTACATGACTGAATACAAAATTGAAAGACGATAATACAAACAGTTCACTAAACAAGAAGATAGACCCGTTGGCTTTACAAGCCTCCACTCAACCACCAGATAATGCAAAACTGATCAGCCACACCGCCATTGCGATCGTGGTCTTATATGATTGGTCCAAGTTGGTCCAACAGAATTGCCCTCCCACTACACACTACGTATTTACACCTACACGAATATAAAGCGTATGCATTCCCATTCGGAGCCGTCAATTTTCAGCAATTTATGAAATAAAAAATGCTTCCGCTTTTATGGATCTAATCTTTGAACATTTTGTATACATATTTGACTATACTTCAAGTATAGTATAGTATAGTATATAGTATACTACTTTTCGTAATCTTTACGAAAATAATATCTTTGTTATTATTAACACTTTCATGGATGTCACAATTTAAATTAATGAACACATTCTAAAAAAAGCGTAATCTAATATCTTATATGTACAGCAGCGAGCATATGAATATGGAAACTTGAAAAACGGTATAACTATTTTAAAACTAGACTAAATGACTTGAATTTTTTTTAGATATTATAATATTTAATTATATATATATATATATATATATATATATATATATATATATATATATATATATTATAATATTATATTATATAAAATAATATTATAAATAATATATAATATTTTTTGTTAAATTTTGTTATTACTTGGAATGACAAAAAAATAAAAACTTCACGTTTCTCAAATTTTTTGATCTGAGCCCATAACGAACATTTAAAAAATACATTCTATAGATC